GATCCAGACGGGCCAAGGAGGCATTGTCAACATCCTGAGGGAAGAAAAAATAAATCTAATTCACCAGGGAACACCCTAGAAATGCAAAATAAATATGCCCACAATAAACTTTGTGGTCAGCCCTTTTCATATTTACAGCAATTACGGTCTAAAGAGAGCAAATTCCATTTCTTTCCAGCATACTGAATGAGTAGTGGGGGAAGGAGATCTGACATATTTCCAGGAAAAATGGACAATTTGAGAGGAAGAGAAAGGGTAAGATTATTTCACTGTCATATTTTCCTTGTAGTGTTCTGTGTTTAAAATAAACTGTTCTGTAACATTCAGACAAGACTAAAATCGAAACTGTAATTAACATGTTCCAGGTTTGCACGAGTTGGAATTGATAATACCATTCAGCATCTTCACTTTTTAAAAAAAATATTAAAACATGGGACAGGATGAGAGTATGAAGTTGCCATGTCTTTAAAAAAAAACATCACTGTCAGTGAATCCTGAGCAAGGCTTGCATTTCATTTGACTACAATATGTATACAGTGTATAGGAAGTCCTCATTTAGTGACCACAATTCAGACCAGCAATTGGTTGTTAAGCGAAGTAGTCACTAAGTGAAACTGCAACTGTGCTTATGATCTTATTTCAGCTTTCCTTTGCTTTACAGACCTGCAAAGGTTGTAAACGTGAGGACTGTTTACTTTTTCATCACTGTTGTTACTACAAACGGTTGCTAAATGAGGCAATAGCTAAATGAGGACTACCTGTAAGCAAATGGGACACTGTGCCTATTAGGCTACTATAAGTTGGGGAACCTGCAGTCTTTCAGAACTACAGTCCCCAGCAGCACCAACCAATATAGCGATTTGAAGGTCACTGGGAGTTACAGCTGAATAACATCTGGAGGACCAAAGATTGCATTAAGGCAACTAACAGCCAGGAGCAGATAACATGACAAACTATTTCTCAAAATCTACACCCTACCTTTCCTCTAAGAACAGTACTCAAGACATAATAAAATATAAACTGAATACAAAATGTATATAGTTCAAGCATAAAAGAAAACACAAAAAGAAAGATCATGCAATAGTTAGGACCTACTTCAGCGAAGTCAGCTTAAAAGCCAAGCACAATAAAATGTCTTTGCTCACCAGTGAAACAGATGAACAAACTGTCCTGGCCTTCCTTGGCAGAGAGTTTCAAAGACTGAAAGAAGCTACTAAGAAGCCCCTTGACCACATACCAGCTCAACAGACACAGTGTTGTTGAAGGATATGGGGGTGGGGGACTCCTCTAAGGGTTATACAAACTTAGCAGATTTCTGTAACAGAAGGCACTCTTCCATTTCTGATTAATGACCGTGAATTTTGCTCCACATTCCATTCATGGTAGCAAAAATGCTGCATCTGCAAGCAATGTTGTTTTCATTAAAGATATGTTTCCAGGCAAACAGAGAAACATCCAAAATGAGGGAAAAAATGCTACAACCCAAACTGAAGCACGGTGTATCTGGCAGTGTATGGAAAAATTAGAATTTGTATCAGTACACTTTGTTCTCCTACGCTCTGTGCAGAATTACTGGACCTTTTCACAAAGCAATTAAACTAAGCATACAAATTCAGAAATCTAAGCTTGAGCAAGGCAAGTGTAAGCCAAGAGTATGACTTCACATCCTTTTCAAAGTCTTTTTTCTAGCCCAGTATTCACTGAATACATTTAACAATATCCAGATGACTTTCAAGCTGGATTGAAAGTCATCTGGTTATGGTTAAATGCATTCAATCCTACTCGGTGCCCACGCCTTTCCTTAGTAATTAGTAAGGCAAAGAAGGCAAACAGCAGGCAGCCCCAAGACTGTGCAGTTGATCTTCAGCTACAAAATGCTAAATTATGATGGAACAGATTTCCACTAAAAAAAACCAAACCAAAACCCATCCACCAGTGAAACAAATGTGAAACTAAGCCCACAATGAGTTTAATGCAATGTTTCACTAGCCCTCCCCACCGAACATTCTGAACAAAATGGAGAAATCTGCCAAGGACTTCATTGCCTCCCCACCATGCTCCTTCAGCTCTCAAAGCAGGAGAGCTTTGAGACAACTGTGGTCCCACAAAGAATTGCTGCCCATATTCAGCTAAGGAAGTATCTACAAATGCTGCCATACTGAAAAGGTATTTTGCAAGCTGACATGATTACTACCATTAGGCCAGTGTTTCTCAACCTTGGTGGCTTTAAGATGTGTGGACTTCAACGCCCAGAATTCCTGGGCGTTGAAGTCCATGCATCTTAAAGCCACCAAGATTGAGAAAAGCTGCATTAGGCCTATGATACAGAGAAGAGAATCTCTCTACTGCAAAGCAGGCCATGTGTAACAGAGTGAGGCTTTCTTTTGTCATTGTAGCATAATGATGGGAAAAGGTATGAAACAAAGCAGCAACTGGAAACAGACACAAAACAGTGGATCATAACACAAATGAAAAAAGACGTTATCTAAGTTTATATTAAGTCAGAAGCTAGCAATCTTTTCAGGCACCAGGAAGAGTCATGAAATTTGGGGTTCCAAATCCAGAAAATTAACGGGACAGGTCTCTCATGATTTCAGCTGAGATAGCCCAAGTTTAATAATGGTTAAATAAACCATAGCTTGCCAGTGGGTGAATCCAATCATGCTGTCCCTTTAATTAGGACCTAATTAGGAAATCATAGTCAAATTTTGAGCTAACACTAAATTATAAATCCCAAAGATTAGTGGCCACTTCATTTGTGCATGGAGATGTAATTAGGTTAGCTGAATTAACTGGACGCACACACAGATTCTGTTTTCTATCTTAGAGTGACAGATACAATTTTGGTGGCTAAAGGGCTACTTTAGATTGTTCTCCTCGAGATATGCAAATCTGTCAGTTCACAAATAAATCAGTTCCTGAAACTTGTACAGCTTTAAAGCATTCCAAGAAGCAAGTCACCATGCAAGCTTACATCCATGTATTCAAAAATAAATTCCATAAAGTTTAGTGGGGCTTACACTCAAGTAATCACAGAGTTTGGGACTAAAAGCTTTTGGGTATTGTGGACTTCATACAGTTCTTGTGGAATATGACCAGAGCTAGATATGGACAGGACAAGGGAAGAAGATGTAACGTTCTCAGACTGATGAAAGATTCAGGAACCAATTTGTAAACAACCAGCTGCAAGATTCTGTTATTAGTGAAAAGCCCCACCTTCCAACTGAGTCTCAGGAAGGGGATAAATGGTTTCTAAATAGGAAATAGTTCAATCCCTGAAATTCTTGTAGCCCTGTCCTGTTCATCTCAGTAAATCTTGCTAAAGAGAATTCTAAGATACTTTTGCTTTTATTTGAGGAAGCCAGATTGAGGATGCAGTCTACACAGTGTGAACATGTCTAGAGCAAAAGCTAGATTTTCCTTATACCCCACCCATTTCTTTTAAGTTCATTCCTTGCCCTCACATAGTATTTAATTACTCCTAAAAGTCAGCAAAAAACAAAAAAAGGTCTTGGAATCCTACATGAATAGCCAAGGGTGACAAATATGGGGTTGCTGCAAGATGCTTCCAGTATTAGGTGTGTGCGCCACACACATGGGCAAAATCAGGAATGTTTCCCCAGCCCCAAGATTTGAGGAGTTTAGGATAAAAAAAAAAAAAAAAAAGATCAAATGGGGTTTAATAGCATGAGGCCTTGAACCTCTGGTTGCCAACCCGGTGTATCAATATAAGCACGCTGCAGAGGTATAATATGAAGTGACCACACAAACAACATGCATTACAGAATGTGTGTCAGTCATACCATTTGTGTGATGACATAATGTGGGATGTCATCAAGGCTTCTACAAGATGTCTGTGTATATATGATTTCAGTCTTGGATAATATTCATAAAAATATTTAAAAATTAAAGCATGATTGTTTTCAGTTGAACTCCCACTTTTGATTTTTCATTATTTTGGGTCCTCAAAAGGATTACAAGAGGAACGCAGGGGTAAAACTGGACTTATCTTTATTTTTTAGGGGTTGGGAAGGCAGTAAGTGTATTAAACCACCAATCATCTTATGTAGGAACACCCAAATCTTGGGAGTGTTTGGCAAACTTAAATATTTAATTTGGGCTTCCCCAAATGTCATGTAGGAGTGCCACTGACACCTGAGTTCAGCGCTGTCAATTCCTAGCATACATGACTAGAGTCTTTTCCATCAACTGATTACTTGGCTCAAAAATGGAAAAAAAATATTAGAACAGGCAAAAGCTAGCCTATCTTTGCTAGTTAAATAAACAAAAACACAGCCTACTAAATAAAAAAAACCTTACATGCTAGTTCTTTTAAATTCTTTAGGAGAAAAGAGCCCTGGGGTCTGGCAATTGAAAATTTCTTAGTGATTTTTTTTTTTAATTTAAGCTAAATGGCAGCCTGTTTAAAAAGCTAAACTAAATGATGGGCAAAGATGATTATATGTAAATTAACATTCAGATTCAGCACTTTTTCCTTCACACTTTTAAGAAAGTTCATTTCAGATGAATGAACAACAGCTTTGGTGCCTTTTCATCCCTCCCCTGTGTCTTGTGGGAAAGGAAACTATATGAACTGTTGAAGGTTCAACCCTAAATTAACATCTTTCTAAAGAAAAAAAAAAAGTGGCTTTGGGCTAGTACTCAGGCCAGCAGTTAAAAAACCTTGTTCAGAGCCTACTCAGAAACTGTAATAGATAAAGTGACCAATACTTTAATTGTGGGTTCTTAAAATAGGCTTGCATCATGACACATTCAGTAAGAATGCAGCCTTTGGTTAGAAGCACCCCAGAATACAAAAGCTTCTGTTATTTCAATCTGTGGCCACCACACTGGCTGAAACATAGGCCTCCACATTCCAGACTGAATCCCATAGAAACTATTAATACCTTTCAGCAGAGAGAACAGATGGTCCCCTTTCACCCTTACCAAATTGGAGGGGGGGCGGCGGAATAGATTCCATAGAACTTCTTGTGTAGCAGGCAAAACTTTGACAGAATTTTTCTAAAATCTTGGCTCTAGAAACATCTCAGTGGACAATTCTGAAGCTTTAATGTGTTCTCAAGTTAATCTAAGCTCAGATCAGAAAGTCAGATAGAAAGTAATGGTCAAAGGGATAATTTTGAATCCTCTGCAGTGAAAATCTCAGCTACGTGGTCACAAGCTGGTTATTTATTAGCAAGAAGCAAACCCTGACTCTCAGGGTTACTAAGATATGCAAGACATTAAGTTGGGCCCAGATTTTGTCAAAGCCATTACTTGCCCCACTGATTTTAGTGGGTTTTCTCTAATTATGACTAAGCTTGGATCCAGCCCAGTACAAGAAAAACATTACACCTCTGTCAGATAGTAACAGACAGTATCTTATGAAAAGCTGCCCTTCCTGCGTACACAAAAGTGTATCTTTATGGCACATAAATCAATATGTAGTATAACATATAATTTCCAGCCCTGTATGTTACTTCCAGAATTAAAGGTAGTAGGCCTCAATCCCAATTATTGGAGAGGAGAAATCAAAGGGCATTATCTTTCTCTTGCAGTTTTCACAGAAATAGCTGTCCGGCTGATGCGTAACACAGAATTTCTGGATTAGAAGATAGGCCTCTCAATGGATAAACCAACATTCTAATAAAATTATTAGTGTATCAATACTCAAAATGTAGACTCATTAGAAGCAACACAAAATGTGTTCTGATCAAACAATAGCAAGGCTCCTCTTTAGGCATTCATGGTTTGTACCAGGAAGTTGCTTGCCCACAGCTTTTTTAGCCACTAGATGGCTTTAAAGTTACTTCTCCAAGGAAAGTGACTAATACTAACCTGCCTGAAAGACTGTAGGGTGTTCTCAGCTTCTTCTCTCTGAAGTATCTCATCCTGAAGTCTGAAAAAATAAAGATATAATTCAAAGATGTTCAAAAAGTCAATCACAAAAAGATTAGACCTAATAGGCAGCCACACCCAAGAGAGAAAGAAAAAGCACAAAGCGAGAACAGAACTTCCAAGAAAAGTATCTGGTTCCATCTTTGCTATGGATCCTTTTTCATTGTGGTGTGACCAACCTTGAAGTGAAACTGCTTGAACAGCACTATGTAATCCACCAATATCCCTGTCAGAAGCCCTGCCAAAAATATTGTTTCATTCAACCAAATTAGCAAAACTGCTGATCCTCATTTTGGACAGTTTGCCTAATCCCACAAATTCAATTTGCTAAAATTCAAGTTTTTTCCCAAAGTTGCATCTTTTCACCAACCCAGTACTCTGGTCTAAGTCTTATAATTCTGGTACCAATGAAGCCAGAATTTGGTTCTCCAGTACCAGCACAAACTGAAATATCAACAGGCAGAGAAGAATAGCATGATTTAGTGCAAGTTTACCTGAATTCTGAAGGGCTTACTCTTAAGCAGACACAAAAGCAGCAATCAACTGCAAATTACGTAAATGTATTACAGCAAATCCCTCTGAGCTGGATGGGACTTATACTTAAACCACATCAGTGCAAGGTTTAGTAAACCACACTCTACTAAACCACTAAACAGTTAACTACGGTATATAATCAGGGATGGGCAACTTACAAACCCCTAAGCTTTATTTCATTTTATAGTTGCTGAAGCCTTTTCATCTACTACTGTCCAATTATATCACAGCTTTCCTTGTTACCCTCCAATATGTTGGGGCTGGTGAAAAATTTGAGGAAGGAAATTTGAAAACAAACTAATTCCTAGAATTAACCAAAAAAAAAATACCCCCCTCAAAAAAATTGGAGAAAAAAATAAATCCCAGATCTGGCCAGATACATGATGTAGCACCACCCATTGAGAATTTCATCTCTCCTCTTCAGTAAATGTTAAGTGTGAACTCAGCCGCCCAAATGTTGCCTATCCATGCTACAAAGCATCAAAGTAAAGAAAACCCCGCTATCATTTGTTTCTGTGCTGCAGACCGTGGGAAGACGATTGCCTAGTGAATTCTTCTGGACAAAGAGGTTTATTGTGCTTCCAATTTTTTTTTAAAAAAACCACAAGCTTCATTCTGGAAGTCTGTCAACTTTTCCATGCAGTTTATCATACTTAGAATTTCCAACAGCCCTAGTGAGAGCATAAAGAACTAATTCTGAAATACTCACAAGCTTTTAGAGTGATTAAAGAAACCAAATTTTGGAATTAAGTAATTAACCAGACCTAACACACTGGCTTTAGGGGAGAACTGAAAACACCTCATGCTTAACTACAGCTACAACTTCTTGAAAACTAAGAAATCCACTTACTGTTTTATTTGCACAGATTTAGATATAGCTGTACCTTTCTGCTTTTATTAAAAAGAACCTACATACAGGATCTCCAATCCAGAAATGAAATGTCTCTTAAACTGGTGTTTGCCCTCTGCAATCTTCAAGTTTATGCATTAAAAAGGAATACACAACGCCCAAGTTAGTTGGGAGATACTGAGAAAAGGCGGCTGTTTCGCCCCCCCCCCCCCCGTTCTCAATTAACTTGCAGTCCGATTGCTACCGCCAGTGGACACACCCATTATCTGCTCGGCAGGGCGTGGCACTCCACCCAAGAATACGTGCCCTTCTCTGGCAAGCGAGCAGCCATTAACGGATAGTTTTAGTCTAACGGAAAGAAAGTCCCCAGCTAGTCGGTTTCGACGGCCACGGGATGCAGCCCCTCTCGTGAAACCCAGTCGGCTCTCGAGGCTGAATTCACACAACGTGCTTCGATATCCTAGCTTATACGCAGCCGGCCGTTGTGGCTCCCAAACCATGGTTCTTTGGGGCTCACTGTTTCGCGACGCAGCCAAACGGGGCCCGTCGAGCGCGTCGCGGCTCAGCGCGCCTCCGGGACCCGACCCGCTTTCCCCGCCGCTTACTTCTCGCGCAGGCGCAGAATGTCCTCGGCCAGGTTGTCGCGTTCCACTTCCACGCGCGCCTTGTCGTTCGTGAGCTGGTCCACCTGTCGGCGCAGCTCGCGCATCTCCTCCTCGTAGATGTCGGCCAGGCGCGAGGTGCCTTTGCCCTTCAGCTGCTCGAGCTCGGCCAGCAGGATCTTGTTCTGCTGCTCGAGGAAGCGCACCTTGTCGATGTAGTTGGCGAAGCGGTCGTTCAGCTCCTGCAGCTCGGCCTTCTCGTTGGTGCGGTTCGCCTTGAACTCCGTGTTAATGGCGTCGGCCAGGGAGAAGTCGACCCCCAGGGCATCGCCGCCGATACGCATCTGCGGAAGGCTGCTCCGCACCCGCACGGCTTTGGAGGCATAGATGCCGCCGGGGGAGGAGGAGACCAGGCGCACGGAGCTCGGTCGGATGGAGCTACCCAGCGAGTAGCGGCTGGTGGTTACAGAGCGGCTGCTGCCGGGCCGGCTGGCGCCGCCAAACATGCGGCGGTAAGAGGAGGATGTCCGGGTGCTCATGGTTAAAATCCGAGGGGCTTGTCGGTCGCGAAGCAGCGGCGACGTCGAGGGCCTCCTCTGGAGCGAACGGCGGCGCTGGAGAGGAGTTGCTCCCGCCGCGCGCGCCTCTTATACTAAACTGAGTCCCACCCTCCAGAGCGTTGCCCGCGGAGGCGCAGCCCTCAGGACGGCCGCCCTCCCGTAATTATCAGAGGAAACTGCTGCTCTGGCAGGGAGGCTGCATTCCCACGAGACGCTGAAGTACAAAGCAGCTGATCCTCTTTTAGCCTAGCGTAGCGTAACGGGGAAATCCACCACTCGTGGATGGCGTGCGTGGGAATCCAGAAAAGCCACACTTTGGTACCTAAAGAGCTAGTATTTTGGCGATCCAAAAGACACTCTGGAAGCAAGACTCTGGTTGCTCTGCTCTTAACTATGGTCTACTCAGCTCAGCCTCTTTATTCAAAAGTCAGTATTAACTGGTTGACTCAACATTTTAAACCAGAAACGGTAACCAAAGTATTTTACCACGACTTAGGGTCGTTAAATACGTCCGTTGTTTTAGTTTTTTCTTCCACCCCATGCGCGTTTATAAGTTTCCCGTCTCGGGCCGATCCTCTCTATCCATCTGCTGACGTGGGCGGAGGACCTCAGAAGCTGATCTGAGAATAAACATGTTAGGCCTAAAAGGGCCCCCCCAAACCCGTCTGTTTTGTTGCACAGACTGAGCGGCTTCCCCGCGGGGAACCCTCGCCAGCCGGGCGCCGAAGCGACGTCCGGCGGGGGAGAGGTGGCGGGGAGGTAGCGCTCCCTCGGAGCTTTCTAAGCTGTTGCTACGAAGACGGAAAGAGGCCCTCACGGAAGAAGGGGGGGAGAGAAAACTAGGGGCGAGGGCAAGCCCAGAGCAGGAGCTCCCGGGGGACCCGCAGGGAGAAAGAGATGGGAAAATGTGAGGAAGCGGATTGGAAGCTCGGAGCGGGAATGGCAGCTTGGAGGCGGGAGAAGAGCAGAATGGCCGCTAGGCTTCTCGAAAGCTGGGCAGAGACGTCGCCTCCTGGCTCCCTCGCTCTGAAGTTGGGAAGGGAAGAGGAATCGATCGGCGCTCCTTCGCTTTCCTTCCTTTTCACAAATTCCCCCTTGTTGACCCGCTTCTAACGTGCGCGTATTATCAGTCGCTTCCATACGGCCACTTTGCGGTCTTATCTCGTGCACGAGGTGGTTTTCTAGTCTAGTGTTGTTTTTGCATGCGCTGCAGAAAGGGAAGGATGTGGTGCTTGGATCCGCACGTGCTAAGCTATGGTTTGTTTCAACCAGGGTTAGTCAAATAAGCTGCAATGGCTGCCAAAATCAAGCAAACTGGCATGTCAGACAGGTGAAGCCAGTTAGTGTTTGCAGTACCTCACAAAATATAGTAGATTGGCCTTAACGTTACACCAAGTCTGCATACTTATCTTGGAACAACAATTGTACCTACACACAAGACTTTATCCCATGGAAGCAATGAATGTTTCTCTAAATATTTAAGGGGAAGGAAAAAAATTTAATTGCACCAAGAAAACATAAAAGTGAGTCAAGACGCTTCCACGCAGCCTCCTGGTGCTATTTTAGAATTGATTTTGAACCCATGTTCCTTTCTACAAAGCCAAGTCATAGGTCTCTAGTTTCTAGTCTGATTTATCTTTTACAGTGTTCCAGCTCTGCAGAACGTGTGAGCAGTTCATTTCCCCTAGGAGGGAATATTTACCTCATTCCACCTGGTTCTGAACTTCATCCTGTTCCTGGCATCTGCAGGCCTTGTTTCACATGTATCTTTTCCTCTTCAGTTGCAGTAGCCATATGCAGCCATGGTTAGAGGTCTTGCGAAAAAATGATCTGATTTGCAAAAATGCTGTTATCCTTTCCCAGCCTGAAAAGAACTTTAAATGCAGTAGGAAAGAGCATTGCAGCCAGAGAGCTACTTCTGATAGCAACTGTTCAGATTTCTTTTCCCCTACAGATAAATGAAAGTATATCACGTACACTAAAATGTGGATTTAGGGTTGTAACACCAATCTATTTTGTTTGCTTTTATGAAGTGGGTGCAGTGGGATGAAGGATATTTGTTGTTCCAGAATCTGGTACCTTAGAGTGCAGGCTACTGATTTTGGGGGGCTGGGGGTGGGTACTAATACTACTGGATAGCTGGATAGCTGACACACACTGCTTTGTCAATCTGAAGTACAAAAAGTTCCATGCATGTTCTCAGTGTTTTGAAGTTGCTCAGCTGCCCATCCTGATCTCTGAGGGTCCTTCCCAGAAGTGAACATAAATCACCTTCAAACTAAGGGATCAGGAAGTGAAAACAGTGGTGGTTTGAAGGTATTTTAAGATTACTGTATTTTCTATTAATTTTAGTCCATTGGCTGAGAATTCTGGGCATTATAGTACCCAGCTTGGAGGATGCTACTTTGGGAAAGGTTGATCTAAATACTGTATTCTGAATGCATAATGGTGCTCACAAAATGATTATATTTAGCTCAAGATTATGTGCATATGACTTGACTGGTCACTCGCAATCAACTGTCATGTATCAAATTTAATCTGGATTTATTCTTATCACACCACTGAGGAAGAGAGATGTTTGAAAAGATGTGAAAGGAAGTACAACAGAAACAGAATATTAAAATGTCTACATGAAGTAAAATGTAAAAATACTGACAGGAAAGTTATCTAACTTGATAAGTAATTGTTCTGCTGAAGTTGATTTTGATCTGTAAGCAACAATGATGTCAAAGATTGTTTAATGTTTCATGTTCTTAAGTTGTGAGTAACAGGTTGGGTGAATTCCAATCCCTAGTAAATGTGGATCCCATTGAAATGGGACTGAAGATATCAATTATGCCATAAAACCTCATTGTTTTTAATTAGAATAAAACTCACTTTGTTTAAAATGCAATTTTATAACTCAAAAGCAAGTCCAGTTTAATTCAGGTGGTGATATTTTCCAGTGAATATAAGCATAGGATTGCATCCTTATTTGGGATCCAAACCATGATGTTATGTCCAATTTTTTTTTATCTAGGAACATATGGTTGGATCTAGTCTAGGTTTAGAATAGATGCACTAAATTGTCCCAGTCGTTCCAATGGATTTGCATTTGCTCGCAAATGATGACATTATCCATGTGTAGTGTGGCACAGAGGAAATTGTGTCCATGTCTTCACTAGTGATTTATATTATCTTACAGCATGATCAACCATCACTACGCCAGTGTAATAGTTTTTATGTTGCTACGACAATAGTTTTTAAAGTTGCTAGAATGGGATGCTAGAATATGCTATAAATATAAATATATAAATATAATATATTATATTTTATATAAATATAAAAGGTTATATGCTATAAATGTAATTTATATGCTATAAATATAAATATATAAATATATTTTATATAAATATAAAAAGTTGCTAGAATGGGATGCTAGAATATGCTATAAATCACCACTGAGGAAATGGCCTATGTTTGTTTTAGCTATTCCAACAGGAAAGCTCTACTTAGGGGGAATTGCCATTTCATTCCTATGAACTCAGGCAGAGAGGATGGTTTCTGCTTTGTGGACAATCCTTTCCCACCCCCATACACACACTACTTTGTCAATTTGAAGTACAAAAATGCCCTATTACTATAACTGCATCAAAGCAATTGTGTTATCTCATCGCTAATTTACTTTTAAGCTATATTTGGTATTGTTTGTGCTGTGTAGTCAAAACAAAATTGACCAGTCAGGGAGCTGTTGGTAGCTCTGTACTATAGACATAAGCATTTGAAACAAGTCACAGTGACATCATGGCATCATCACGCAAATGATGTGAAATATTTAACTTCTCTTATGATGGCACAATGCACATGTCTTCACTTGTCCTCTGCTGATGCCCTGACTGTAGTCCAATGTTTTCTTTTTTAAGAGGTATTTAAGTCACTAAGTTTGAGTTGTAATCCTTTGGGAGATTGCATCAAATCCTGGCAAAACCAACACCTTCCTAAGGTCCCTGAAAACAAAAATGAAGGGAAAGTTGCTGGAAAACTTCATTAACAGGTCTTTGGATTGCAGGCAGTTTACTTGGTAACAGCTTATGATTCAATTCAGTAGGGTTTTTTAATTTTTATATTGCTCTGTCACAAAATAAACCCACACAGCATCCAAACTACTTACAAGTTATCCAGTAGAGCATCTCTTCCATCTTACTGTCCCTACATTTCCTGGGTACAGTCAGCTTTCAGAATTCCCGGTCATAAATGGCCACTGGCCATCCTGGCTGGCAATTCTTGGAACTGTAGTGCCAAGGAATGTTACCCCTTATTTGGTAGGACTGGTGGGACAGAGATGGAGCCAAAAGGTCAATAGGAACCAAGCTAAATAAATTGAGTTTGCTACCTAATAAATCAAGTCTTTACCTTGATTAATCAGCCTCTTACTTTTCTATGAATCTTCAAGTTGAACAACTCTAAGCAGTATTATCAATGATCAAGATCATAACATTAACAAACAACAAACAATTTTGGGGGAAGAAAAACAGGAAGTAAGAAATTCTAGAAGGAAAGCTGTGTTAGTCTGTGGGGCAAAAATCAGGAGTTTGGTAGCACCTTTTCCAACTAACACATTTTATTAGAAGGCAAAAGCTTTTGTGAGCTGCAGCACATTTCATCAGATGCATAGAGCGGCTACACTGATGTAAGATTCCTACTGGGGTGAGGAGGGTGGAAAGGGAAGAGATAATTTCATGCCTATCTGTAATTTAAAAGCTCCACTAACATGTGGGGTGCTTGATATCTGTACGCTATAGTTATTAATTTACTTCTGCTTTCTAATTCTGCATTTCATCTCCCAGCTGTTGCCACCGCTACCATCACCTTGCTCCTCTCTTCTTTGTGCATGGGCTGCTGGGGAGAAATGCTTCCAACCAGCCAGGGGTCTTTCTTCCTCCCCACCCATACTCCTCCTATGTCTGCCTATATGTGCAGTGCTTAGCACAGAGTCAAAAAGGTTTCTGATTTTATACAATGGGAAGAGGGCAAAAGGGCACCAGCTGCCTACACTGACCCACAGCCTTTTCCCGTGTTCAGTTAAAATGCTCCTCGCCGG